TATATATATACAAAGCTACGCACTTCCCAATCTGAAGCAAAAATAATCAAAGAAAAGTGAAACAAGCCGCGCTTGACCCTAAAACTGCTCAGTTTTCCCATTGGAATCGACAGTACGCCATGAGTGAAACTAGTAGTGCGTCGGCTCCTGCAAACAGCTTGATCTCACCAACCGTAGTACCTTTCAGTAGCGTCTGTGTTTGGGGAACGTGAATTGTGACCTCAGCCACCAGTTCCATGCCTCCATTTGTTTGGTTCGGTTCGCTGCTCGCGACAGCACCGCCACTCGTGCGCAGGGGACGCCACACTGCGTACACCTCAGGTGTGGAGCCACGACTAGTCCTTCCCGTCGGGACCAGCGGGCACGACGTGACAATTGGACCTGTAGTTGGAACAAGTGTGGTGTGGTTTAAATCCATGCTTCCGTTTTGCGCAGTGAAAGACGACATGGATCCACCGCGCCCGTTCGCATCGCCGCGTCGTGAAGGCTCCCTCCGATGCATCACGTACTGCACGTCACCCACCTTGCTCTTGATCCCGGCATCAGACCACGCCAAAGCCAGTTGCGAGCTTTGGTTGAGAAAACACGAGGCGAATGTGCGTCCCGACGGAGTGCATAAGTACAACGTGTTGCTGAATGGAACCCAGCTGCCTTTGATCTGCGCCATGGGGGAACGTCTGTCACCGTAGTACACCATCGCCTCGACAGACCCGCTATTTTCGCCTGAAACCCACAGAATGTTGTTCTGCAGGTCCGTGGAGTCCACCATCACAAAGTTTTCCCTATTGATGGAACGTCCATCAAAAATGCAGTTCCACTTCACTGGCTCCTTGTCATGCACTATCCAAGGCGAGTTCACACGGTCGCTCCGCAGGCAATAGTCCGGATACGCGCGGCGACCAGCCCCGTACAACAAGGGTGGTGGAAGATTGTTGACCAACTCGCGGTACCGCCTGCTCACCGCACTCAATTTCCTTATCACCACGGGTCCCGCAAATTCCAATGCAGTGAGAAGCTCCACAGAGCGAAGACGAACGGGCAGCACCTCCGCAACGGAGAATACAATCGATCGGCTTCCACCACGCGTCGCACCCGACACCTTCAACTTACGCCCGGAAGAAAGTGGGGCAACATGCGTGGGAAGCCACAGACTGGGGTTCGGTATTTTGAAGTTAGAGAGCTCCTTTATTGGATTGCCACTTACAGCACTGCTTAACGTGCTGGCCTCGACATCCGCAACAGCGTTACTTAACTCCACGCTGCGCCGCTCTGACACAAAGCGCACGCCGCACTTCAGCGTACCCATAAAGGAGCTTTCAAAACAAAAACAACAACACACACTCTTCTCCGCAACCTCGTAGCAAACGGATCCAATGTATCCACCCCAACCACGTGGATGTAGCAACGCGAGGCCACAGAAACCAGGGGGAATGGTAGATGGGAATTCCATGCCAGCGTGAAACGTGGCATCGGGCGACGAGTACCCTACCAAACGGAATGCCCGCGAGGTGGTGTTCTCGACGCACGCTACAACGCCGTTGCGCATCGCATTTACGCGCCGATCCAGAAGCGCAAGGGTTGTCTGGAGCACATTGACAGGTAACGTGCGCGAGGTGCGCATCTTGAGTAACGCCCGTGCCTCCTTTTCGAGGCGTCGCCACTGGACAAGGTCGGGATTGTCGTAATGCGTGTCTCCTTTTGGTGTCCCCAGATCAGACGAGTTTGGCGACGCATCCACACCAATTGCGCCGTTGCACGCCGCTGCTACGTTTTCCTGCTCTCGCTGCTCTACTTCACGACGGCTGAGCTTCAGTTCTTCTACATCCTTCATTTGAAATCCACGTTGCGCCCAAAAGTCTTCGTCCGTGATTTCCTCTGCCACCGGGCTGCCGTCAGCGATCGACATCAAAAGCAACGATTCCGCTTCCTCAAAGGCGCTCACGGATTCTGCGATGCGGAAGAGACGCAACAATTCTCTCCCCGTGATAAAAAAGGCCTCGGCTGACCGGCCGTTAGATAATTGAAGAGCGGCTTTGGCATCTTCCAGGGCCTTTTCGTGTTGCTTCGTTGCAGAGTACGCATCGGCACGTAGTAGCAGTAGGCGAAGCCTCTGTGTGCGGTTTAAAACCAAACGTGGCCGCGCATCCTTCACTCTACTGATACCATCTACATCCCCCTGCAAGACAGTGCCCTGCATAACGGTTTGACTGAATGGCTGGCGATATGGCTGACCGCCTGCATGGCTGGCAGTGCTATGTTCACTTGCCTTGGTGCCTACCACTACACTATCATTTTGTACATCGAACGCTCCACCTGCTTGATCGACAGACAACTGCTTTGACAGATCATTCTGTCCTGCACTGCTCTCGAAATCCCTCGTCTGGTGAAGCACCGCCGAGATTAGCTTGATGGCACCGTAGTAGTTGGAGTAAAGGCGTACATCCTCATATACGCGCCGGATAACCTCATGCATGGGGCCAGGTGGCCGCTCCATCGTCGCTATGCTACACGCCTTCCACGGAGTCAAATGCTCCGATTACGCACGAATTCACTTGACAAGGAAACAAGAAGGCACAAACACATAGCGGAAAAAAAAAGAGAGAATGAGAGAAGAGTTCAACACTATTGCACAAGGCCCCGGAAGGCAAGGGGGTGGGGCCGCAGTGTACCCTATCCCTGCGCTGCCCTATATATATATATATATATATATATATGAGCGAGAAAGATACCAAGGGGGAGATAAAAAGAGAGAGTGAGACAGAGAAAATACGTGCGCCTCTCTCAAGAGCACCCCTCTCTCTCTCCTCCTCATTCTTTCTTCCCCTTTCTCTATTCGCATTATTATTCATCCTCCAAGTACACCTGGTTGCCGAGCGACGCGTACAGGTTCGCCTTCAGCTCACCCAGCGCTACTTCGACGTCCTTCAGCTCCGCCTCCGCCGCCTCCTGCTCCACCTGCAGTCGCGCCTTCTCCTTCTCCAGCCACTCCTCCGCCTCGTCGTTGTCGGTCTCCATGAAGGTTTCGCCGAAGAGGTACATGGCGTTTTCGGTGATCATCAGTTCGTCCGCGGCGTCGCTGAGTTTCACCATTTCGTCCTTGCGTCGAGAAATCGCGGCTACCAGCTCCTTGCGTCGCCGGTGCAAACGCGCAAAGAGGCAGATGTGGCGTTGGTCCTCCTGCGCGACCTCCACTTCCTTTCCCTTGAGAAGGGACATAACTTGCGCCTGTTTCCTTTTCTGTGTGTATGTGTGTATCCGGGTAGACGATTATGTGCCCCCCCCTTATTTTTTGTGTTTTCCCTCTTACCGGCTCGCGTCAAGCACAAAAAAAAAAAAANAAAAAAAAAAAAAAAGGAAAGAAAAGAAGAGAGGAAACCACAACAGAGAGTTACGCGCGCTTCATTCTCAATCGATCCTTCCCTCTCTCGGTGTGTATGCACGATGTGTGCATGTATGCATGCATGTATGTATGTGTGTGTGCATGAGATTGCAACCGTTCAGTAGCACACATTGCTTGCTCGGAAATACAGCGCACCCGTGCATCGCACTTTGGCACATGGGCTGGTAAAAACAAAAACAAAAAAAAAAGGAGCAGGAAACTGCGCTGTATTGATAGCGAGAGATCTCACTGCAATTAATGCGGCAAACGCATCTTCCCATTTTTCCCCATTCTTCTTTTTTAGTAGAATGCGGGACTGCAGGCTTTCGCTCGGGTCAGCCAAGCTGCTTCTTGAACCAGGGGTGTTCCAAGGCCTGCGCTGCGGTTGGTCTAAGCCGTACATCGTGTGTCAGCAGCTGCTGCAAAAGATCCTTCGCCTCCTTACTCAGCGACGGCAACGGCTGCGTCTGCTGGTGGCCCGTCAGAATCAACCTCAGGAGCTTGCTTCGGCGCTCATCATGGTAAGGAAAGGCGGAGTGCAGGAGCACGAACATCACCACACCGGCCGACCACAAATCTGCCGATGTACCGTAGCCCACGCGCCTGCCTGCAAGAAGTGTCCTGAGGTTCCGGACGGACCCCGCGACACATATGCGCCCGTTCTCTTGCCTCTCTTCCTGCGGTGCGCCGGACGCTGTCACTGTAAGGTCCTGCAGCTGCGGCGCGACCGACACCGGGGAGATGGGCGGCAGCCGCACATCCTCAACCGCTTCCCTCCACCCACTCGGCTTCGTGCGGGGGTGCAGATGAATGGCTGCCCGTATCACCTCCGGCGCCACGTAGTGGTGAGAGCCACAAAACTGCGTGAGAAGCTTATCTTTTTTCTCCTGGGTGCTGCTAGTGCAACTCGTAGTGGTCGCACCGAGGCATGAGAGCTCCTCGCAGAATCCGTAGTCAACGAGGCGCGCTCTATTCTTCCGATCAAGCACCATATTTTCCACCTTCACATCGCGGTGCACTATGTGGCGGTCGTGTAAATGCTGGAGGGCCAGCAGCAGATCCCGCATATAGCCTGCCGCCCTCGACTCTTTCAACGGGTGGTGCGATACCAGCGAGAATAGATCGCGGCCACTCAGCAGCTCCATCACCAGAACGCACTGCACCACCCCCTCCTGCAGCTGCCGCCTCACGCTGTCAACGGCGGCCTGGTTCGACTCTGCAGCGCTGTCCACCACTACCGATGACATGGACACAGCGGGGCGAGCACCGTGACGCCACGACTTGGGCGCGGCGACTCGGGTCACTTCCTTTTTCTTACGCCGTGACGTGCCGGGGGGCGAAAGAAGCGTGACCTGCGGGGCGTATTGCTCCAGGCGGCACTGCAGGCCCTCCACGTCGTGCACGAACACGTCGCTGGAGGAGACAAGGTTCGGGTGCTGCACAGCGAAGGAGATAGCGATCTCCTTGACAAGTGTCTCAGAGAGTGCCGGTGGGGCCGTGCTCATACTCCCACACTCCGCAGCCCCAACCCTGTCATCACCGTCGGTTTCATTGTCGTCAAGAAGTCCCTCCCTACATTCCTTTTCCCTCCGGCTTGTGTGCTTTCCCTCTCGCCAGATGACAAACTTTGCAGCCTTTCGCTCGTTTGTTGCACGATCAACGACTTCAAAGACGACGCTATAACTCCCGCGACCCAGCTGCCTCCGCAGTCTGTAGACGTCCTCGAAAGCGCTGAGCGGGTAGATGCGTTGCTGCTGCTGCTGCTGCTGCTGCTGCTGCTGCTCGTTTTCTGAATCCTGTGAGTGTACTGAGAGCGTCCACATAGGGCCGCTATTTGGCATTACATCTGTNCTCCCGCGACCCAGCTGCCTCCGCAGTCTGTAGACGTCCTCGAAAGCGCTGAGCGGGTAGATGCGTTGCTGCTGCTGCTGCTGCTGCTCGTTTTCTGAATCCTGTGAGTGTACTGAGAGCGTCCACATAGGGCCGCTATTTGGCATTACATCTGTTACCGGACAATCAGCTGTACTTAAGGGCACCAATGCCACTGGCAGAGTGTCTACTGCTGAGACCTTCCGGTTGCCGTTGCCAGTGCTTCTGTTGGTGCTGTCAACCCCCGCCGTGTCCTGCAGAAGACTCTTGGCTTTCTTGATGCGCGGGAGCGGTGCGACGGGCACGGCGTTCTCCGCCGGCGTCTCCGTGACTGCCACATAGGGGTTTGTGTGCATCACGCGGATGTACACCCGCCTTCCCCCCAGAGACGCAGCACAACCTAAAAATAAGAGGGGAAGAGAGACAAGAGAATAGCAAAAGCATATGCCAAGCCAGAAAAGTGGCAGAAGCAGCAAGAAAAAATGATGAAATGAAGGCGCATCGGTCGGTGAATTGACGTAATTGGACAGAGGGGGAAACGCTATGAGTCAAGGCCAACACAGACGGGAGTGTTCTTGGTCATCAGGAGGTATTGCTTTCACCTCTTCACATCACGTTCCCCTTGATTTCTATGATTTTTTTTTTCTTTTGATTCGCTGCCTTGTCACCCATGACGCCATATTGTAATTCACTTTCACTTCTTTCGCTGCCTGATATTCTCACGGTCTCCCCGCCCCCCTCTCTCCCCATCCCTCTGAGAGGCACGCACGCACATACATACGCATGCAATGGGTATTGAGCCGTGAAGGACAAGCCAGGCGAAAAAAGAAAGAAAGAATTGCACGAAAAAAAAATGGAAAAGCACAAATCCCTCAAAAGGTCAGCACTTCCTCCTTGTTCGTTCAAAAAAAGGGCGAATTCTTCAGGGATCCTTTCTTTTTTTTTTTTACGCTCGATTGCAGTTTCACACCCATCGTGGTTTATTCATTGTACACCTTTCTGTTGCTTGCTTGTGCTGTGGGTGTTTGCATTTCATCGCTACTGTCTTCGCGGCGACCGGGCGCCTCTCAGCTGCCACCGACTGCCCGCGGCACATACACACACACACACACACACACCGCTGCTATTGGCTCCTTCCTCGCTCACCTGTGAGGAGCCCACGGTGTCTCAGACCTATTTCCCGGGTGATCGATTTCTTGTCGCTTACTTTTTTCCCCATTACCTTTTTTTTTCTCTCTTTTCCTCACTCCCTTTTTGTTTTTGTTTGTATGTGCCTCGGCCGCTTTTTTACTAGGATTAGCATTAGGTCATTAGCATTATTGGCTTTACTTGCTCTCAGATGCGTTTTTTTTTCGTTTCGGCTCACCGTCGGCGCTCGCTGACACGAGTCGCAGGGAGGACCCTCGGCCAAAGGGCTTCTGCAGGCGCTCCCTCAACCCCCATATACGCTTTTCTCGTTTTTCCTTGGCTTTTTCGCCTCATTTCTGTTTCTCACGCTGTCTGTACATCTCTCCCTCTCTCCTTCTCTTTCTCTCTCTTGCTCGTTGCTCCTTCGCGGTTGCTACCGCTTTTGCCCATCATGAGCCCCCCCCCCGCACCCGTGTAGCTGGTAGCGGTGGGGAAACAGGAGCAGAAGTTAACCAAACAAAGGTATCACGATACCAACAGGAGACGCCAGTCGGCAGAAGAGCGCATGTGCGTTCTCGCAGATGTGTGTGTGGGGGCATGCGCGGTGCAACACCGCAGTGCGCGGGAGCCACGCCAGCAGCAGTAACGCCCGCGTACACTGAGGGAGAGACCGAGAAGCCCACGCATGAAGAGAGAGAGAGAGAGCGAGTGACGTCCGTGGTGGTAACACGCAGACCGCGGCTTGTTGAGTAACAAGGCGCGGTGGCGGAGCGGGGCGGGGCGGGGGTAACAACCCCACCAAATTGCATAGATGAAAGAAGAGAAGTGACTGAAACAGCAACACACATCGAATAAAGTACCAAATCAACAAAAGAATACCAAGCCACAACAACACGAGGGCACCAGGGAAAAAAAAAAAAACGGCGTAAATAAACAACAAACAGAATCAGGGCCCTCAAAACAAAACACACACAGAGACAGGGGAAACAGGAAAGCGATGGCAAAAACCACGGCCTCTGCGACGCCCCACACAGCAGCCCCAGTGACAGCCACGACGAGTGCACACATGAACCGAGGCGAGGGAGAGGGGGCATGCATGTGTGCTCGCGTGTTTGTGGCAGGGGTGAGGTCTTTCAAGAACAACACGCTTCAAAACGGGCGAGAAGAATAAATCAAAAAACAAATGCCTGTTCGACTGCGGTTGCGTCTTGAAAGAATCAAGTGAAACATTCCCAAAACACAGAAAAAAAGGGGGAGTACGGAAATATCGAAGGGGGTCGCGGGGCTGACAGAAAAAGAAAAAAAAAAAAGCACACACACAGATACCGTCAGCGATGGATGGGAACAAGACGGGGAAAATGAGTCGTCAGAAATGAAGGAGGGTGTGTGACACACAATGACGGAGACAAAAATAGGAATAAATAATCGTTCAAGCGAACAGACAACTTCGTTCTCTTTGACTCGTTATACCTCCCGCCCACCGACAAAAAAGAGAGCTAAAACCCCCAGACCACTCAAGGGGGATGGCCAGAAGGCTCCAACGAATCACGACATGTACTACACACAACATGTCACTTCTCCCCCAGACAAATGCCCCATCAGCCCCCCACACCCAGGAATCTCCCTAATTCTTTTCTGTTGTTTATGTTGCTTCCATGTCCCTGTTCCCTTGTGTTCCTTTCCCCCACCCACATCATATGTGTTAGATTAAAACCCTAACCCTACATTTCCTTTCCCTTCACATCTTCGCGTTCACAGGCTACCCCTCGGCCGCCGCCGCTGCCGCCGCCGCCGTAGAGAGATGCATGTCGTACCGTCGCCGAAGAACCCCATCCACAGGGCGCTGTGTGCACTCCCAGTAGCATTCGCGAACCAACTCCACCACAGGCCTCAGTGAGCCCGTTGAGAGAGTATCCGCATCCTGTTCGTCACGGCACTTTAACGTGGTCGCAAAACTCACCAGAAGCTCGTAGCTGTCGCTGTCCAGTTCCACCTTCTCACTCGCGTCAATTTCCGTCGGGGCGGAGGTAGCTAGTAGGTCAGCCAAGGGGGCTGGTAGCGCCCAGCCCGTCTTTTCCGCAGCGACCGCAACAACAGCCAAACCCAGAACAGTTCGGCGATACCCCTGCCCTCTGGTGCTGCGGAGCATAAGATCATTGAGGAAGCGCGCCAACTTGCACAGGTCATTCCACCGCAAGTTCTCCATGTAGTTGAAACAGTCTCCACCGTACACTCTGCTCACACCTCCACTTCCCCTCCCGTCACACCAGCGCCTCTGTTCGCGCTGGCGGTGCTGCTCCTCCGCATTCTCCTGAATGAGTGGGCCACTGCATAAGTGCAGCAAGATCTCCACAATTTCCAGAGATGTGACGGGCTGCAGGCGAAAGTCCAGTGTTTCGAGCACATGCATCTCGTAGCGAAGGAATTCCTCCTTAGCGATTCGCGACTCCGGCCGCAGACAGCGCAGAAAGGACTTGATGGGCGGAAAAAATCGATCCACCTGCTTGCAGCTCAGCATTGCGCAGGCAAGAAGAACCCCACTGAAATAGGTAGGGTCCCTGACCATCGACTGGGCCATGCAAAGAAACGCGTCTAGGTACGCGACAGCAACATGTGCTGCTTCGCGCGAACCCTCCAAAGAAGTGATAATTTCGTCAAGGGAATTTACAACAGCGTAGCGACTAACTTCATCCCACCCATCTGTCCAACGCGCCCAGCCACCGACAACGTCGACGTGGTACCGCTCTTCCTGATCAAACAAGGCGTGAATAGAGTCTCGGCGTAACGGAAGGTCTGTAAATGTCGCTTTCGTCGTTGACGTCGCTCCTGCTCTCGCCCGAGGAGAAATGGCTGGCACTGCAAATGCGTTTACTACATTGCAATCCCCCTCGGCTGTAAGATTTGAACGAGAAAAACTGTTAATGTTAGGAAGCCCCACATGCACATCAGGCGACACCATGCATGCTTCCTCGTTCGCGTCATGGCTACTCTGCCCAACAGAGGAAACTCCACCGCTCTCAATGTCACAGATAGAAATGCCATTGCTTACGCAACTGATCCACTTCTTCTCAAGTTGACCCACTTTGACGCCAACCAGCGGGGCAAAGGTGTGAAAAAAGATGTGCCGCAGTTGCTCGCCGTGTAGCTGTGCGAAGCGATGAGCCGCGGTTTTCTCGTCTGTTGGCATTCCACCTTCGTTCGTGATCACACGTACAATAGCCGGGCCAACTGGTCGATCGTACTGTGGTCCTACTGTGGACTGTAATTCTGATTCGTTCCGGCCAAAAAATTGGTAGCGCTCAACGGAGAACACCGTACCAACCAGTTCAAAGCGCGAGAGTTGCACCACTTGGTCTTCGTTAGGAGTGTTGATGCCACGTGGTTCCTCGTCGGATGATAATTGCGGACACCACTGTGTTGCTACTTGCGTGGCATCCCCTGCCACATCTAAATAACTGCAACTCACCTCGCAGAGGTGCCATGGGTAAATAGATGTAGGCCATGCGTCACCTTCATAAACAAAAGCTAATGGTGCACGCCACTCTCTCTCTTTTAGTACAGCAAAGGTCGGCAGCTGCATTACACGGGCCACTGCATGGTCCACCTTGATGCTCCTAAGATCGTGGATTGCTTTGTAACTGGCCTTCATGTTCCCTTATTCCTAATTCCTTTTGTAATATGGACACTTTGCCAGGTGTATTTTCTACTCTTCCTTTTACACCTAACAAAGAGCAAGGGACAAAGAATGACGGTACCTCATTACTTCGTGGACAAAGAAGGGACATATTTGCAAATGGGTACCCCCCAGCACCGCACACGCATACAGATCGATCAGAGAGAGCGGCTCCAATGACTTATGCCAAGAAGATGCACGCGAATCCGCTTCGGTGCCTTTCCTCTGTTCTGCTCTCAGCTTCAGCATCACCCTCGCTCGTCCCCTGCACCCGTCAAAGGCGCGAACACAGCAATGAGGCTGGCATAGAGCCACTGCGATCTCTTGTATACACACCGCACGAAAGCAACACACAACAAAGACTGCTCTTGTGCTCTTGGCGCACAACGCTGCACCAACCGCAGCCGCGCTGAGACACACCCTCAGCGCCCATATCATGTCGCCCGCGGCTCTCACCACTTCAAATCATGACGCAAACAATAGAGCACCAACAGAAAAAGTCAAGTACCCCTTCCAACGAGAAATTCGTGTGATCCACCACATCACGTGCTGTGAGTGCCTCCACTGACGCTGACGGGCAATCTGTTGTCACAGACAACAGTCAGAAATGAATGTACACGCGCAGAGCTCACTGCAGAAAACCCAACCCGCGCCTTTCCGACAACGCATCTCAGCATGCAGAGACATCGAAAGCGTGTCGTTCACGCACCTTAACATTGGCACAAACACACCTGGCGGGAGAAGCGGGCGTGTGTAGCAGGACCAATCCAACAATAGGTGCACCGCTACGCGAAGCAGCGGCAACTTCGAAACAATCCTAAATTCGACATGAGGATGAGGGCATGACGAGACCAAAAAAGACGTCACGCTTCTACAGAGAACGCATAAACAACTATAACGCAGTGTCCACCTAGAAAAAACAAAAACAAAAAAAAGACGTCAGCAGTGCACCACAAGAGACCAATCTATGCACTATCGGACGTCTCGCGCGCCACCAACTTGTCAAAACGTTCTTGTGTGCTACCAATGCGTCATTTACAAGGTCCCAGCCATTTCACTGTGCACCACCGCCACTCAAGTTGATGTGGCGCACGGCCAAGGGCAAAGCCACGCCTCACACTTCACGCTATATTGAGCAGCGGCAGACGGAATTTGATCTGTGTTCTTTGATTCTTGACCAGTGCCACAAATCAGAGTTTTCTGGTGAAAAGACCATGCCCGACTAGGGCCCCAACAAGGCGGCAAGCAAACCACAGCAACGGAGTGATGGGGAAACAATCCACACGCGCGAGCACAGCATGACAAAAAAAAGCAAGTAGTGTGGAGCTGGTGACTGCGCCAATACGTGAAGGACGCGAATAGCGAATATTCCGCTATTCTGCTACTGCATCGACCACGCAGCTGAGACGAGTGGATGCCACACAGATGGGCCAAAGCGGCAGCTACACGATGGGCGCGCCGATCTCAGAGAAAAAAAGGCGTGAAATTATTCGGCCAGTCGCCACAAACATCCCTCCACCCCGGTCCCAACGTTGTGCGCGTGTGTGTGTGAGCGTGGATGCGCACCTGTATGTATATATGCGTGCATCCCGTACCGGCTAGAAGTTGAGCCACGGAAACTCCTTCAACAAGGCCTTCTCTTCCTCGGGGCCAAGCGTCTCTTCAACTTCCATGAACTTGAGAATGTTTTTGTCATCGAGGTCTAATAAAAGATTGGCGATCACTGCCGCACACAGTTCCCTCAATGGCACCACCTCCAAAGCCGTCGCTGCCTCCAACACATCCAGAAGATGCTGAATATTGCATTGATCGATTGATTGCGTAGCTGCAGAGGCTGCCTCCGTTGCGCTGACATCCACCCACCGTCCTTCTTCGTACAACGCCCATCGATCTTGCGGCCATAGAAGCAGTTGCTGGACGACAAAGCGATGCTCCCAGTCGCCAAGGCGGTAGAGTTCACGCACCTGGATCGGCCTTGAAAGAGTGGCCGGCCTGCCAGACTGTGAGGTAGCCTGCACCCCATTCTTGTCACCCACCACATTCCCACCCGTTGGACCATAGAAGTGTTCCAAGTATATCGCTACAGAGTGAAACGTCGCAGAATTCACTGACGCAAAGGGCAATTCCACCATTTGTGTCCCTGTCTCTCCGCTCTCAATACTCTCCAACATTTCAGAGAGGGTCCTCGATCCTTCTTGCAGCATAGTGACTGGACACCGGAAGACGACGCCATCGCCAAGGCGTAAGTCGATACAAAACGGCTGTTGTTGTTGTTGTTTTTGCTTTACATCTTCACATTTAGTTGAGAAGAGCAATTCCAATGGTGCTATTGGCGAGGAAGACGACGACATTTATCTTATCCTTTTCCTTGGTCAAGGTGGCCACCCACCACACAATAGGAGCCAGAAGTAGGAAGAGGGATAAAATGCAGTAACAATGAACGTGCAAACAAAAAAAAAGAGCATAGCGAGTCTGGGACTTGAAACTCAGACTAGTCACCCTCACTCTGCGTCTCTCCTCATATATAAAAATATATATAGATGTTATATGGAAGGGAGATGCAATGATCGGGGCAAATGGCTTTCAACGGACATCTCATTATACAACCGCGAGGGGAACGACAGCAGCGAAAGACCACCGCGTTCTGTCCCCTCCAAGAGCTGGAGAGAATAAATGGAAGGACAAGAGAAAGAAAAGCAGAAAAAGGTTCAAGGCCGCCGTCACATGCCGTGTGTTCCTTTTTTTTGGAGGGAGGAGGGTCTCTCTTTCCCTCGGGAGGTCTTTTCTAATCATCTCCCTCCTATTCTCTTGCCTCGCAAGGAGCAGGCGCAAGGGCTTCTTACTCCAAGCACCTCACCCACATGTATCTCGTGTCATTTGATACCTTTTTTTTTCCATTTTCTGTCTGCTGTTTTTTGTTGTTGTTTTTTTTGCCTCCGAACTCTCTTACTTTTTTTTTACCTCCCTTCCCTCCGTCTTTTCCGTTCCTTATCAGGGGACAAGAACGAGCAGTGCCCCACGCTGCCGACGTGCAACTTCACCTCCCTCCACCGCTCCACATTGTCGAGCCACACACTTCACGGCGCCGGGAATAAGGGGGATGTGTGTGTGTGTGTGTGTGTTTGCCTCTTTGATTGTCTTCCGGCTGCTTTTCATATGCGTAAAGTCGAACGCAAACGTTGCATTGCTAAATCAGAATGAAGGGTCCATGTCACGTTTTTGCTCCTTTCCATTCTTTCTCACTTTTTTTCCGCTTCATTCCCCAGTGTCTTTTTGAACTTTTTCACACGCATGCAAGTCCGCAGGGAGTGTCAGCGGTACGCACTGCAGTTTCGGCATGAGCCACACCTGTTGCATCCACAAGGGGGGTCTTGAGTGAAGGCGGCACGTCGCGGGCGGCACGAAGAAAAAGAAGAAACACGAGCCGGTGTTTATACATGGCGTCACAGCCTATCACATCCCGGCTTCCTTAATACAGCACACATACACATACGTCTTCCACGTGGATGGGAGAACGGCACTAGCGGAAAATATGGTGGTGCCCTTTGCTCTGTTTCGCCCAATGTGCATGCTACCTCGTTTTCCCCGGTGTGGGCAGAGGTGTGACGCGGACTCTTTTCTTCCTCTGTGTGTTTTCACATTGTCTACCTTTGCTGCTCGCCGCTTTCATGGCTTGATCGCCCTATTCCTCGTTTCATCCTTGATGCTCTGCGGTCTTACCACCTCGGTGCATCATGGTGTCGCGATGCTTCATAGCGCGCCCTCGATCTTCCTCTCGCTTGTCCTCTCCCACCATTAAAAAAAAACTGATTGAAGGTGGCGTAGCTAGCCCTGTCTCATCCTCATCCTCATCCTCATTCTCATTCTCTGTCTCCTCATCAGAATCACACAAATTCATTCGCTTCGCTCCATCAGCTCGCTTTCTATTACCTTGCATTTCCTTTTTTTACTGCACCTTTGTTGTTGTTGTTGGGCTGGTGCCGCCTTTTTTTTTTCTGCCGGGGCCTCTTGCAGGGGGAGAGCATGCTCCCACATGACCCGGCGTGGAGCACACACCCCACACCGCTCCACGCACCTTACAACAACAGTGTGGGAAGACAAGACACAGAGCACCGCGCACCAGCACTCGGGAATAATTGACGCTACATACGCACACACATTTCAGCAGAAACATGACGAAGAGACACGAAGCATAACTTCCTACACACATGTCCCCCCTTCCGCTCTCTGGCGCGTTGATGTTGTCGCCATCTTTCATGACCATGTCCTTTGACTATCCTTCGGTTAAGCCTGCATGACATCACGCCATGACACGGAAGCCCTTTTCCCCCCCTTTGCCACGTGTGGTGTGTTGCTTTCTCTCTACGTTGTGTCTCTTTGATCACGTTCATCTGTCACCACTGTGGAACGTTGGTTACTCTCCCCCCGTCTCCTCCTGTCTGTTATGTTCAATCCCCTATTTGTTGGTTGCCGCGTGCCTGGGGTGATGGTGCGTTCATAGCACGACCCTAAGAATGACATCACAGGGCGTGGAATTCACCGCACATCAGAAGACGTCTTTTTTTCTTTTTTTTTCTTTCTCTGACATACGTCTTTCGCCCCTTTTAAACCTTCACCGCCTTATCCTCTAATGTCAACCACACACTTAAGCACCCAAGCACTTACTCCTGTGTCTGCCCAGTCATCAAAGAGAGCAAAATGGGCAGTGGGACGCCTACTTGCTGCTGCAGTAGCTGGATGCGCTCCAGCTGCTCGGATCGGGAGTCTGAGGGGCTCTCTGCGGCGTGTTGTTCGAGCAGACCAGCGAACCATTGCGTACGATCCTTTCCTTTCAGGCCTGCCGGCGGGCCGTCCTTGAACCCCTGCCACTCCTCTTGATACGGCTCTTTGTTCTCCATGGAGGCCAAGTAGTCATACCGCTTTTCTATGACTTCCTGAATCGTATTTCCACCCTTCTGGGCCATGAGGCCGTACACTCTGCGAAAAACACCGTTCCGCGGCAGGCTAAATGGCCCTGGGACTACCTCGAGGTGTTGGACGTCCGCGTAGTCCTTGCCGTTCTTGAACTGCACAATCACACAGGACACGTTGTCGCGGCTACCACGATTCACGGCCTCTTCGCAAACTTTACCTGCCACGACGGCAAGGTCATCCGACGTCTCCAGCTGCTCCTTGATGAATGCCACCACCTCTTCATTTGAAAATTGCCCTTCGAAAACACCGTCGCAGCACAACACAGCGAAGTCCTTGCTGCCCCAGGTCACATCCACATGGGTAACATCTGGGAGCGCGATCACCTTCTGCTGCAGTTGGCTACCAGTGGTGTTCTTCTTGTAGTCACGGTCTCCAAAGGCACGGCTGACAGCTAGGCTCCCATCCACGCGGTTGCCCTCCACGCGGCCACCACAATCCTCAATTCGCTTCCGTTCATCGTCATTATTGGGCTTATGATCTTCCGTCATGGCTCTTGCCTGGCCGTTAACGCACACCAGAACGCGCGAGTCGCCAACGTTGCCAACTTGCAAGTGAACCATACCCTCTTTTTTCATAGCGGCAAAAAATGTGCCGGTACTGCCACCTTCCCGGACTAGGTCCATCCAATTTTTATCAATCTCAAGGGCAAGTTCTTTCATTCGATCATCTGTCATTGGTATCTTTTCTTTTTCGAGAGCTTCCTTCCAGGCTGTTTCCAGGTACAACGAGCACTGATCGTTGACGTGGCCGTCAAAAACACCGAAGAAGCCCCACGTGGGCTGGAGGTGGACGATGTGGGCGTCTTCCATACTCTCACGGTACCCATTGACGCAGCTAGAGCCACATCGGAATATTTCATTGCCGTAACGCTCCCGCAGCTGCGTCATGACAGGCTTTGGCAGAGGTATACCCATCCCTTCAGTTGTCTTCGTTCAGGTGGTGCGTTTATTTGTTGTTTGCGATCAGTTTTTGAGTTCGTTGGGCTTTTCTTTCACACTATAGTGCGTCACACAGCCAACAAAAAAGAAATCCTTTAAAAACAAGAAGAAAAAGAGAAGTAGAATTATAATGCACGGCGATGCTTATACTGATTGAGAAACCTTTCTCTCACTTCCCTGTGCCTTCTTGCCTCACTTACCCACTCACTCACTCACGCACTCATTTACTACCTTGCACGTTCGCACAAACAGCAATTACACGACAATTAGGAAATTTGGGGTGAAGGATGTCTCCCTTCCCACACACCTCTTGTAAGAATACGCTGCTCTCCTCATCATGCTCTTCTTGCATCATCTTGTGAATAAGAATTGAAGATCATCTTCACTAAGGCTTTGAAGCGAATTTAACTGTCCATCAATTGTACCTTCAATGACAAGCATCTTTTTAGCCTGTAAGTCCATCATGCGCTCCTCCACAGACTTCTCCGTAACAAACCGAACTACATGCACTGGCTTTGTCTGTCCAATGCGATGCGCCCGTTGTGCCGCCTGCATCTCAACTGCCGGATTCCACCAGGGGTCTGCGAGGACAACGTGGTTGGCAACCTGTAGATTTAGACCTTCTCCACCAGCCTTTAGCGAGATGAGAATAACTCGAACATTTGGGTCCTGTAAGAACGCTCTGAGGACAGCTTGCCGCTGGGAAAGCATAAGAGAACCTGTAAGCTTCACCGTTTTCACAAGCGCCCTCTGTAACCATACCTGAACAAGGTCCAGCATGTCCCCAAACTGTGAAAAGACGATTATTTTTTCTTCTTTTGGGACGTTACAAATGTATTCGGTGATAGCATTGAGCTTGGTTCCATAGAGAGGTTTGGAGGGGTTGATTCGGGCAAGGATGCCTTGAATACGCTTGGGTTTCTTGGGAGAATCCTTTCCTGTGGTAGACGAAGCAGCTGTGCGACCATTGTCATCGTCGACCGAGTTTTTCTGTTGTTCATCGTTGATTATTTCATCTTCCAGCTCGGGAGGCAGCACTGGCATGGCCTCCTCCTCCCCCCAATCCGACCGCAACTGGCGTAAATCGATGCTAATTGTTACAAAGCAGGTAGGACAATGGTATTCCTTCTCTGGAGAACTCTCCACAAACTGTGCCAGGCACATGCGATGAAAAACATGCCCACACGGACTAACCGGGAGGGAGTTTTCACCACTACCTTCAGTGCAAATGCCACAGAGTCCCTTTGGATGTACAACCTTCCCAATATTCATTGATTCAACAACAATCAGCGGATGATCAAGCGCCTGTCGTAAACGGCTCAGCAGCTGAAAAATGTGCGCGTAGTTATGCAAAACGGTTCCCTTATCAACAAAGCTGTCAAACGTGGCAGTGCTCTTTTTGTATAGCGATTCGTAAAAGTTCCGCTCTTCGTCCGTTAGCTGTAATTTGACGATCTCCGTGGTAAGTGGTGGAAGATGTAAATCATTCGCTCTCTCAGCCTTTGTACGGCGCAGCATACTTTTATAAAGCACATCATTTGCGAGTATCATCATTCCTCGGCGCCCGTCTCCTATGTATCCATAACGCAATATAGGGTTCAGTATGTGACGGTTGAAATAAGCGTAGTGCTGAACCGGTCCATGGCCACAAAATATACACCTCCGCAAGTTAGTCCCGGAAAACGGGTGCGAAAACGATGAGCACGAACACCCTTCAGTACCACAGTAATATCTTGCATATGGTGTCATGCGGAGGAATCGAATGAGACTGTAAACATCGCCAACACGGTTTTGCAGAGGGGTTCCAGTAAGACACCACCGATTCTCACCCACCAAAGCAAAGGCTGCTCTAGAGGTACTCGTGTTTCGCCCTTTAATACGATGCGCCTCATCCAATACGATACGACTCCATTTAATAGAATGAAAAATAGACTCAGAAAGGTCAACGTCATCACCACCATTGTCAGTCTCAATTATTTGCTTCATTTCTTCTGTCACCACGTGATGCTGTCCGGTTTTGGGACAAAAAGGAAATCGTAAAAACTGGAATTCACAATGAGGACACCGAAAAGCAGAAAATGATTCTTCACCATCACGCTCCGTCTTATTTTCGTCGATATCCACTGACGTCGTACTGTTAAAAGTTGCACTACTTGAGTCGGAACTACTTATGCTCTCGCTACTATCACTTTCATTTTTGGCAGGAGCCCATCGACTCCTAACTTTGCGTCCAGCCTCTATCATGAGCTCCCGATACATACCAATTGGTCCAACAATGCCCCGCCCGCCTGTGTCTTCATCCCCATTAATTTCGCTGTCGTCATCCTCGTTATCACCAACGTCAACACGCAGAGTTCGAAGCCCCTTTTTGATTGTTTCCTTCGACTGAACCTTGCGGTTGGACGGGAAGACTTCCCCATTTTCCCCCTTTTCACGTTTTCGTTGCTTGGCCGTTTTCTTGGCTTGAGGTCCACAAAAGTATCGGTTGTGAACGACAAGTTGACGTGGTAGGAAAAACTGTTCACAATAAGGGCATTTCGCTTTAGTTTTGTTCACCAGAGCTCTCCATGATTGCTCCAGCATAGGGTAAGTTGTGAGAACAACATCGGCACTTTCCAAATCATCTTTTTTCGCACGAACAATGCGATCCACCACCACGACCAACAAAGCACCTTGCACCACATGTTCTTTTATTTCAGTTTCCCACTGAAGCATCGAACTAACAGGACACACAACCAAAGTAGGGCCCACGAGACGGTTAGCCAGTAGCAGACTAATCATTTGAATTGTTTTCCCCATTCCCATTTCATCGGCCAAAATTCCCCCCTTCACATCCGATTTTTCCTGAGCCACCATCCAACCTAGTCCCTCCCTTTGGTACGGAAGAAGAGGACGCAGTAATTCAAGGGGGGGCACACCTTCGCGAAGGGTTCCTTTTTTGACCAAGTCATCTGGATCCAGAGGAAGTAAATGCGTCGGCAATATAGATGAAGTCACTTCAGCCAGTACTTCATTTTGCTCCCCAGGAGAGAGATTCGCAAGTCCATACACAACATCACCCACGTCATCGCACTCGGAAACCCGTGTGCATCCTATGTGTTGCCATGCCGTTATCCAACCGTACTCCCCATGGGAATGCCGAATGGGTATTCCCCACTTCAGTTCTCCTTTCGCGATGTACTGAGAGCACCTCCGACAACGAGCTCTCATTGTTGGTGCCCGTTGAACAATGTATCGCCAGACCTTATCATCTCGCTTCGCGAGTCTCCAAACACCTTTCGCAGAGAGTGTAAATGTTGCATTGTTGACACCATTAGACATTTAAAAGAAAGCTCACCTTATATTCAATCTAACAACAAAGAAAGCATGTAGAGAAGAGGGACAAGAAAAAATGAAACAATAAAAGTTTAATTATTTTAACCAACAGCAATAGACGACAACGTCAAGCCCACGCCGTAAAAACACTTTCAGACTCAAATAAAAAAAAGCACTGTCTTACTTTTCCACAGCATTCTTGAAGCTGAGAATCTGGTCGATTCCCATGGCAGAGACCACAACGACCAGCACATCCTTACCTGCGTCAAACTGCTCCTTGATCTGCGCAGCCAATTCAGCATTAGGGGGCATATTCAGGTTATCGCGTGTCTCACCTTCATCGTCCATAAGGGAAAGGTTTGCGGGCTTGCTGGGGTCCTCACGGTCTTCTTGGATATCGAGAACGCTGTATGTCGCCGTCTTCACAACCGGAACCTCCACATTGTGTGTTGTTGGGGCTTGATCCTCCATCTTGTTGCCAGTGAAGATATCAGTGGCAACAATACTGACCTTGGCGTGTCCGTGTTTGCCGGTCTTTGACACAGAAAGGTCAATAACCTTGCAGGGCCGCCCATTAATGCAAAGGTAGCTTCCCTTCTTGAGCGCGCCAGCCTGCATGGGATAGGTCAAGGATCCCGTTTGCCCACCTTCCTGGTGAGCGAAGTTACCCTCGTCGTCAGACATGGCTGTGAAAAAAAAAAGACTTTAAGCGAAAAAAAAGAGAAGACAGATAATAATAAAAAGTGAAGGCTTACTGGCGAAGGGCCATTAAACACCGAAAAAAATAATTTATAGCATAAATCAATTTTCCTGTGTCGTCACCTTTATCGTCTCGGTTCTTTTAAACCGATAAGTAACAGAATCAGCAGAATCATAACGCCTCACACAAGATTTCTTTTGCTCTCTTAACTCCCTGCTTAACTGAGTCGGGTGCTCTCAATCCAGAATCTTTTTCTTTGAATCAACTCCCCAATTGTGAAAGGGTAAATTTGGGGTCTCACGCCTCATGGGGTTCTGATGAGTGGCGAAGGTGAAGGGGCGGTCAGGGACAGTGAATTTAATTTTCTTCCCGGAATCTACCCAAAAGCTTCCGATTAAATAAAAAACAAAAGTATCGGAGAAGGCTCCTTCACCCCAAAAAAATCTTAGAAAGAAGTTTAACAGAGCCGAT